TTTCACCCCCGGGGGGTGGCTGCGCTTCCTGCCCTGCCCCGCTCCCCGCATCCCGCCCTCCCCTCGCCGGGGGCCCGGGAGCGGTCCCGGTGCGCTGGCTGCTCCCTGCTCCGCTGAGCTGCGGAGGTGGCCCCGGCGCTGGGAACCTGCCCAGGCCGAGGTGTTGGAGCCAAAGTCAGGCGCAGACCGGAGTCTAGAGCAGGCTGCTCCCACCCCCGTCCCGTGCCGGGATCCCCTTCCCACAGCACATGTGTCGAGCCAGGAGTCTCTCAATGGTTGGCGGCGTCGGTGTATTTGGAAGCCCAGCCGCGTGAAAGTCTTGATGCTTCCCAGAAGCACAAGGAGCCACGGCCAAGACATTCCCAGGCCAGCCAAAGCTGCTGGAACGGGGGCCTGAGCCCACCCCGGGGCTGCCTGAGCCTCCCCATCCCTTTGTGCACCGCGGTCTGGCTGTCAGAGAGGTGTCGGGATGTTGCCACCGAGCTGCGGGGTGGGGTTGAGAGCTTTGCCTCTCCAGGTGCACATGACCGGGTCCTGACAGGGTGGTGAAGTTGTTTTGGGGTGCAAAGTGTTGATCCCCGCTGCAGCAGAGCCCTGGCTCCGTCCCCATGCCCGGCAGGGCGCGGGCTGGGTGGAGGCGTTTGGTGTGCGGAGGTGTTGGGCGCTGCTGGTGGTGCTGCTTCTTGCGAGGCTGGGGCTCTGCACCCTCTTTCTTCCCTCTGTGAAGAAGCCAGGGCGCGGGTGATGCTGTTCCGAGTGAGCTGGGGCACCCCGGCTCGGAGATCTGCTTTCCTAGGGAACAGGAGGGTAGCATGTGTGGCTGTGCCAGGAGCAGGCGGGATCTGGCCGCAGCTGGTTTCCCTGAGAGGGGAACACAACCCCACAACCTCAGGCATCCCACGTGTGGCTCCAGACCCCTGTGGTGCCCCTCGTCTCGCTCCGGGCCGGGGGCTCAGCGCCGGGGGCTCCGTGCCGCCAACACAGCCGCACTTCTCGCGTCTCCCCGCACACCTCGGCTCTGCAGGAGGCTGGCGAGGGACTGTGCTGCTCCCCACCCCCTTCCCCAGCTCTAAAAGCAAATCTTTGTTCTTGTGGAGCTCTGGCTGCCGGCCGGCTGTCCGCCAGCCAGATGGAAAAGGCACGGGGGCTCTCCTTCCTTCCCTGCTCGCTCCCTGCAGACGCCCTCTCCAGATCTCGAGGTCTCCGGCTGGAGCTGTGCCAGGCACTTGGGGCGGATGGAGCTCGGTGCTGCAGCTGGGCTGCTCCACGCGTGGCTGATGGATGTCCCCAGGTTCCATCACCAAACCTGCAGCTGTGCTGGGCACAGGGGAGGATCGCCAAGTCCCCGGAGTCTGCTGTGCCAGGCTGGCTGTGCCCAGTGCCTCTTTAGCCTGCCCACGCACATAGCAAAAGGTCTTGGAGCTGTAGAAGCGAGCCTTGTTTCCCCAGCCTTGTGGGGGATCTTGTGAGTGTCCCCTTGTGTCCCTCTTCCAGCGTGTCCCGGAGGAGTTGGGGAGCAGTGGGCCCTTGTTCCAGGCAGGGAGGGGGCTGCAGCGACCGTGTCAGCCTCCTCAAGGGCAGTGGATGGCTGGAGATCGCAGTTCCTCATGCCAGCCCCGGATGCCAGCCATTCTCCAGCTCTGAGCTCACGGTTTCGGTTGCTCCGCTGCCTGGTTGAGGGCTCTCATGCCGAGCGGGTCAGGGGGAGGGCCAGCTGCTCTCCCAGGGGCTGGCTCTGCCTGGGGCCCTTGCCAAAGGTCTGAAAATGATGGAGAGGGAAAGTCTGGCCTGGCTGCCTGCAATCCAGAGTGCCAGGGATCAGGGGAGGCTTGGTGGGATCAGCAGGGACACACCCCAGCCCGAGGCTTGCCCAGTTGTGCAGGTGCCCTCCTGTACCAGGCAGCCAAGTCGTGGCCATGCAGGAGCTGCCTCCTGTGCAAAGTTATCTTTTCCTTTCTATTCTCAGCCAGTTTCCTGTCCCTGCTGCGTGCTTATCTCTGTGACTTTCACCTGTTTTTCCAGCACCTTCTTTGCTGTGCCGTGATTTGCTCATCCCTCTTTGCCTAATGCCAACTGTAACACGCTGATGAGATGGGCGAGGGCCAAAACCTGTGTGTTGATGAGTTCTGAGGTGGCTGGTCCTGCGTGTCGGGGCCTTTGCTGTGGCAGGAGGGCCCCTGGCTGTGTTTTGGCTTTGTGCCACCGCATACCCACTGCAAACAAAGAGCATTTTGTGGGCACAGCGCTGCCCTTTGAAGTTGCCTCGGTGGTGGCTGTTGGAGCGGGCGCTATCAAGGGAGATGTTGACACAGCTGCTTCCTCCAAGCCTCTTGTCCCCAGCTCCCATACCTGGCCTGGCTCTGTTGCTTGGGGACAGGCTGTTGTCCCCTCTGCAGGGCTGTGTGCCAGCCCAGGGCTTGCAGAGCCCCCTTTGCTTTGTCAGGGGTGGTGGCAGTGACACTCCCATCCTTGCTGTGATGCCAGCCTTGTCTCTGCTCTGCCCGGCTGGGGCTGTTCTGCTCCCAATCCCTTGGGAAGCTGCTCCGTGCCCTGTCCTGGATCAATAGCCATTACCTTGCCATCCTCTCTGGAGCAGGGCCAGCAGCTCCATTACTGCTGCTGGCTGGGCTGGGAGGGAATATAGGGTGCAGGGATGGGCCAACTCCACTCACCGGGGTGCTGTGGGTGGGCAGAGCTGGGCAGGGAGCAGATCAGCAGCGAGGGGAAGCCTTGGGAATGCTGCAGGGATGGATGTTTTGAGTGCAGGTTCCTCCTGTTGTGGAGGGACCTGGGAGTCCCCTGGTGGCTGGGGACATGCTGCCTCCCAACGGTGTCCTGGGGACACAGCTGGGGGGGACACGACATGCCAGGTCCCCTGGCCTGAGACCATGGGCTCTGTGGGTGCTGCAGGCAGCGAGTGTGGCTGTCACTGCTGCTGGGCTGGGACACGGTGTGTAGAGCACAAGACACGCTCTGCCCCACAGCTCCTGCGGGATGGAGATGGGGACAGGCTGTGCTTGGGCAGCCCATCGTTCCCTCTTCTTCCTGCCTCTAACAGCAAATTCTGTCCCACAGCTGCAGCCAGCAAGCTGGAGATCTCCATGCCAGCCGTGGTGGAAGTGGAGATCGGGGGCACAGCCAGGATCGAGTGCAACTTTTACATCCCTGAAAATGCTTCCTACACCTACATCGACTGGTTCTACGTGAGTGCTGGCCTGGGAGAGCAGCTCTGGCTGGAGGGCTGGGGTGGCAACCAGCCCAGGGCTTCCTGCCGGGCTCCCCAGCCCAGCCTCGCCCCTCTCCTTGCAGGTGGACCGCAGCAACAAGCAGGTGAGGCTGTACCACATCACGGCCAACGGCATCCTGGAGGACGACACTGACTACAAGAAGCGGCTGTCACTGGATGGGGACAGGGCCCTGTCCATCAGCGCGGTGACAGCGCAGGACGCCAGGACCTTCGTGTGCCAGGTCGGGGCTGGCAGCTACGGCGTGGGCGAGAACAGCACCGAGCTCAGCGTCTACAGTGAGTGATGCAGGAGGGCAGCACGGCCGGGCAGCCGCTCTGCCAGGGATCCCATCCGTCCTAATGCGTGGGGGGTGGCTTCTCTTTCCAGAGGTCCCCAACACCCCTGAGATTGAGCCCGCCTCAGCAGGCATCTCTGTGCACAGCAGTGTAGTCCCAGAGGTGAGGAAAGGTTGCACACAGGGGAGGGGGAGGCTCCCTGCTAACCCTCACCTGTGCTGATGGCTGTCTCTGCCCCTACAGATTGCCAAGTGCACGAGCAAGAACAGCTTCCCACCTCCCAACATCACGTGGCACAAGAACGGGGAGCAGCTGCACGCCCAGGAGAACCGTGAGTTGGGTGGGGATGGGCAACCAGCTGGGGAGAGGAGGGGCTGGGGGCTGGCACCCCAGGAACACCTGTGTGGTTGTGTCCGCCGCAGAAGTGACGATCCAGTCGACGCTGACGCGCGAGTCGAGCGGGCTGTACACGGTGAGCAGCACGCTGTACGCGCCCGTCACGCGCGAGGACCGCCACTCCCGCTACCGCTGCACCGTGCACTACTGGCTGAGGGGACAGAGGCGTGCCCTGGAGTCTCGGGAGGTCCAGGTCAACATCTTCTGTGAGTCTGGGGCCGGGGGGGCCGCGCTGGTGCCCTGCGGTGGGGCTGGGCGCTGACTCTGCCCATCCCTGCTCCCAGACCCCACCGAGCACTTGAAGCTGCAGGTGGTGTCGTCCTCGGCGCTGGTGAAGGAAGGGGACAATGTGACGCTGGTCTGCGAGGCTGATGGGAACCCACAGCCCGTCTTCAGCTTCTTTAAGAAAAACGTGAGGCTGGAGGGGAGCGTGGCACCTCTCCCTTGGCAAACATCTCCTCGTTGCTCCTTGTCCCAGTGGCTGGGTGGGAGGGGGCCTGTGTGGGGCTGAGGACTTTGTGCCACTGTCTGCAGCTGAACGAGTGGCAGGATCTGACGTTGCTGGCAGAGCCTGACAGCGGGGTCCTGAAGCTGCACGAGGTGGACAAGAGCAGCAATGGAACGTACAAGTGCCAGTCCCTGGACCTGGATGATATGTCACAGATAGAGGAGGATGTGGATCTTGTTGTGAACTGTAAGAGAATGGAGACTGGACCCTGTGGACCTCATGGTGGGTGCTTTGTCCTTCCTGCTGACCCTGCCCTGGTCTCCATCCCTCTCCTAGACATTGAAGGGGTCCGTGTGAAGATGGAGCCGTCCTCAACCCTTCGTGAAGGGGACAGTGTGACGTTGAGCTGTGACGCCTTCAGCCCTGTGGGCCTGAAATACCAGTGGAGGGATGAGAAGGTGGGTACCTGAGCTTTGCAGCAAATTAGGCAGTCAGGACCTTGCTCCATCTCTCCTGAGAAACTGGGGAAAAGATTCCTTCTTTCATGGGCCTGCATTGTCCACCCCCATATTGTCACCTCCTGCCACTACTGCAGGGAGCTGCTGTGCTTGCAGGCTCCCTCCTTCTGCTTGGAACCCCCCTGGGACATGGGCACAGAGGGCTCATCACTGGGGACTTTCCTTCCCAACAGGGCAAGAAGCTGGTGGATGGGAACCAGCTCTACCTGAGCAACCTCACCTTTGAAACCTCCAACACCTTCAGCTGCAGGGTGATGGCCCCGAGCGTGCCAGGGCTGGAGCAGAGCAAGAAGGTGTCTGTGGCTGTCGAGGGTAAGACCTGGCATGGGTGCAGAGACTCCTGCCTGCCCAGCACCCATTCCCCCATGAGCTGTGGGTGCAGAGTGACCCCTGCCTGCCCAGCACCCTCGGGAGCTGTGGGTGCTGATGTCCCCTGCCCACAGGGAAGCCGCGGATCGTGGCCATCAGCTCCCCGCTGTACGTGCGCCAGGACGAGGTGATCAACCTGACCTGCAAGGCCATCGCCTTCCCCCGGCCCACCGTCCAGTGGAGCATCAACGGCACGGTGAGAGCTGGCAGGGGCCAGGCTGGGGTGTCCGAGGGGCTGCCCAGGCACTGAATCCTGCTCTGCCTGCCCTGCCCAGACTCACGAGTACATGGACAACCAGCACATCGCCAGCAACCTGACGGTGCGGGTGAGCCACGACCTGCTGCAGGCGGGAGCCATGTGCCGCGTGTCCAACAGTCTGGGTGTCAGTGAGAAGCACATCCAGCTGGTGGGTGAGTGTCAGGCACTGCTTTCTGTCCCAGGAGCCCCCAGCAGTGTCAGTCCCCCCGGCTTGGGTGCCGGCTGGGCCGTGCTGCCGTGGGGTGGCTGAGCTCGGTGTCTTTCCTCCCTTCCTGCTCTTCCAGATGGTTCCATCAGGAAAGGTCAGTCTGCTGATGGTGTCAGGACACCAGTTCTGCTCACCTCTAGCCTGGGGAGGGAGCTTGGCTGCTGGCTCTGCACTGCTTCTCTTGCAGCCTCTCCCTGCCAAGCCAGCAGGGAGGCAGAGGCTCTGTCCCCAGCGTTGGGAAAGCTGCCTGCTTGTCCTCAGCGAGGCCAAGTGCAGCTTCTTGCAGCCCAAACCTGCTGGGCAAGGAAGCAGAGGGATTGCCTGGAATGGCCTGCAGGAATTCCTGTTATCCACCCTCCTGTGGCAGGTGGAGCTTGGCAGCCCAGAGCAGAATTTCTGTGTTCCTACAGAAACTGCCCCAAGGAGCATTTCTGTACTGAAATCTGCATCCTGCTGGCAGCTGGGGAAGCACTGGAGTTATTTGGGAGAAGGGGCCCTTTCCCAGCACAGAAGTGAAGCTGGAGGGAGTCACAGTGAGACAGGCATTAATTTTTTTTCTCTCCCTGCTGTGTTTAGATCAAAAGTCAACAGCAGAGAGCCAAGGGGTGATCATCGTGGCCATCATCGTGGCCATCCTCGTGGTGGCCGTGCTGGGTGCTGTCATCTACTTCCTGCATAAGAAAGGCAAGATCCCATGTGGCCGTGCCGGGAAGCAGGACATGTAAGCACTGCCACCTGTCCTCCAGGGACCCGTGGGGCTGGGGGTGCTTGATATCACTCATGCTTCCCATCCCATGCCACCCCATCCCATCCCATGCCACCCCACCGCTCCAGCTGCTCCCTGCCCGGCGCAGAGCGGGAGCACGGCCTCGGGTCACCGCGGCTTTTCCAGCTTCCCACAGGGCACTGCCGTGCAGGGAGGAGACAGCAGAGTGGTAGAGCAGCCAAGGGCCCCTTCCCTGGGCAATCCAAACCTTTCTGTGAGCTGGAGCCTCTCTGACCCCAGTGCTCTGAGCCCCTGGTCCCAAGCCCCAGGGCTCGGCCGGCCACGTGCCCTGCCGGGTATTGCAAACGTGTCTAAAAAATTGTCACCTCCCTCCCCTAGCACAAAGCCAGAGGCCCGTAAAGACAAGATTGTAGTTGAAGTTAAGTCAGATAAACTTTCCGAAGAGGCGGGGCTCCTGCAGGGCGCCAACGGCGAGAAGAGAGCCGCAGCTGACCAGGTAGGACAGAGCGACGGGCACTGCCCTGCCCGGGCCGCACCAGGTAATGCTCTGCTCCCCTCCTCCAGCACTGCCCACCCTGCACGGGCCTCCATCATCCACCTGCAGCACTCGGGGGGGCCGTGCCAGGGAGGGCAGGGGACAATTCCGGGAGGGGACAAAGCTCTGCTCCGTGGCAGTGCCCACTGCCTGCCCTGCTTGGCTCTGACTCCTTCCGTGGAGCAGCTGCCAGCTTCCCCGGGGGCTTTGGGACAAGGAGCTGAAATAGAAAGGTCTCTGGGCAGAAGTCAGAGCAGAGGCTGCAGGAATGGGTCCTCTGAGCCAGAGATCTTGGGCTGAGTCTTTTGGGACTTGTGCTTTCCCCTCCCCTGGGATGGAGCAGCTTTTCACTGTCTGTGCCAGCCACAGGCTGCAGCCCCTGAGCCCACTGTGGTTTTATTTGCCTTGGGCCAGGAGGGAGCCCCTGCCTGGCTCTGCACAGCTCCCCTCAGGGTGTGTGCCTGTCCCCACCCCTGTGTGTGTGTCACCACCACACCTGCAGCAGAGGATTTGCTTTGTGCTCACCCCTAACCGTGTGTTTTCCCTCCCCCTTTCTCTTTCGGCGGAACTGAAGAGCGAGAAATACATCGATCTGAGAAACTAGAGAGGAAACCTACTAAGTGCTTTCTTCCTTCAAACCTTTCCTGCTCTTGGATTGCCTTCTCCCACCCCTGCTCCAGCCCCTGGGGAGCACGGCCAGAGCCCACCCGTGTGTCACCGTGCTGGGGACACCTGCCTGACTCTCCTGGCCATTACCTCAGCCCTGGGCTCGCAGGTGTTGCCTTAGCAGCAAAGCTGGACTCGCTTTACTACTCCAGAGAAGCCACAGCAATATTAGGAAGAATTATATCCCATTAATCCCTACTTGGTGGAAGGATTTGAGGCTCTTTCAGGTAATCTGTTCTGTAGATGTTGTGGGAAGGTTTTGATGCATTCTTTGTACCCTGACCTTGCTCAGAGAGGCTGGTGAAATTTGGTTTTTGGGATGTCTGAGGCACCTTAGCTGTAGTGGGTGGAGGTTGGAGGAGAGAGGAGTGGAAGGGGGGGTGTGTTGGAGAGGTGTTTGCAGCTTCTAAAAGGTTTTGAGTGCTTTGTTTTGTCTCTGAACCGTTCCTGGGTCAGTTTATCCCAGCAGTGCTGTGATCCCACAGGAGGAGAGGACCTGGCAGAGCAAGGAAGGGGTGCCAAGCTCCAGAAAGGCTTTAGGGTGTGTGGTTTGGAGCTGTGCTGGCCCGAGGGGCAGGGCTCCCCTCTCCCCTGTGAATCTGGTTTATTGTAGGGATGCTGCTCAGCTGCTGCAGCAGCAGGACCCAGAGCTCCCACAGATTTAAATTCATTATTAGACAGGGCCAGTCAGTGACGTCTCAGGGTTTTTTTGTGCTCAGCCATTGCCAGCCCCAGGTCAAACTCCTCTCTGTGCTTCACTGGCACCTCTGGCCCCACGGTGAGGAGGGGAGATGGACAAGAACCTGCCACGAGCTTCTGTCCCAGCCCCTTGTGCCTGTAAATCAGCTCCTCTGAGCTCTGCTGGCCACAAGCCTTCGTCCCCTGGCTGTCCCAGCCCTGACCAGAGGGGAGCTGCCCCTGCCTGCTACACATGGTGTCCGAGCAAAAGCTTTGGTTTATATATATATATATTTTTGTTGGATTGTGTGTACATTTCCAGGAGTTTTGTTTCGGGTTTTGTTGGTTTTTTTTTTTGTTTGTTTGTTTTTTGTCTGATAACTTGCAAGGTTTTTTTTTTATATATGTGAAAATAAAGTACAGATTCAAAGCTGAGTGGTGGAGTTTGTTCCCACAGACAGAAAGGGGGAAAGGACATTCCATAATCACCTGGAGGTTCCAACAGGACCCATTTATGCCCCTGTGGCTGCTAATAATACACTAATCACTACCAATGCTAATAAATCTGTTTATTCTAATAAATAATCCTAGTTTTAGGCTGTAAGAAGTGATTATACCACTGGATCTTTAAAAAAAATAATACTGTAAATAGAATTTGGTATTAGAATTTATTGATATTGTATTAGTAGCTAACACCAATACTCTAGATGCTGATGTGTACAGGAGATGATTAATAAACACTAATACACTACTAATTAATAAAAAATATTAATAAAGCTAATAACCAGCACCCTGAGAGGACAGAGGGTGAATGATGGGTGACCCCACAGGGCCCTGGGGCTTTGGGCTGCCCTGGACTGGCCTGGCAGTGTTTGGGCACAAAGTGTCCCTTGTCCTTTGGCCCCAGCTCATAAGAATGAACTCCTGTGTCCTCATCTGACCCCTGATCAATTATTGGGGCCTGAACAGGACCTCAAATGACCCCAATGACCTGAAATAACACCGAACAGGACCTCAAATGACCTCACACGACCCCAATGACCTGAAGTAACCCCGAACATGGTCTCAAATGACCTCTCATGACCCCAATGACCTGAAATAACCCCGAACATGGTCTCAAATGACCTCTCATGACCCCAATGACCTGAAGTAACCCCGGTCAGGGCCTCAAATGACCTCTCATGACCCCAGTAACCTGAAGTAACCCCAGTCAGGGCCTCAAATGACCTCGAATGACCCCGATGGGGGCTTCAAATGACCTAAAGTAACCCCGAGGAACTCGGATCAGAGACTCCAATGACCTCAAGTAACCCCTGTGACCTCAAATGACCCCAATGACCTGAAATAACCCCAAATGGGGCCTCAAATGACCTCTCACGACCCCAATGACCTGAAATAACCCCAAACAGGGTCCCAAATGCCCTCAAGTGACCCCCTGTGCCCATTTCACCCCAGAGGGGTTTCTCAGAGAGGATTTTTCCATGTTCAGTTGTCCCCAGGTGGCCTCAGGGAACCCCCCCCCCCCAGGGTCTGTGGCTTCCCAATTGAGCCCTGGAACCTGAGGGTGCCCCTGTGTCCCCAAGTGGTGTCCCCTGGCCCTCAAATGTCCCAACCCTCCTGGATCTGGGATGTTGGAGTGTGGCAGAACCTGGATTTATTCTGTTTGATATGTAAAATATTCATATATTGATATATATGAATAGCTATCAATGACTATTCAATTAAGATATTCAAATAAATATATATAATTGTTTTCCTATCTCTATTAACAATATATTCTAATAATTCTATCCTAGAATGATGATAAATACACATGTGATTCTAGAATTGTGTGAGATATTTATTTATTTATGTAATTTCTATGCAGTAACTTTAAAAGGCTGCAAAATATTCCCATGGATTCCTCTGGATTCTCCTCCTGGGTGGTAAATTCGTGTCCTTCTTGGTCCTGATGGATTAGAGCCTTTTTTCATTGATTATCTCAGAATATGTTTAATTATTATAATCTTTATATAACTCTTTCCTGACCTCTGTCAGTGGCTAGGATAGAAACTTGAATTTAACAGTTAATTGTGGTAATAATTATATTATATATTTATATATATAAATTCTATTTTATAAATACTATAAATATATAATAATAAATATATATAAATATATAAATATAATTATAAAAATATATAATAACTCCTAAGTCTGCAAAGGATCCAGGAGATTGAAATCCTAAAATATTCTTTTTCCAGCATTCAGAGAAGCACCACAACACACACACACCATCTGCTACAACAAAGGAAATTTTATTTAAAAATAAAACTTTGTTTTGTTTTCTTTCTTACTGACACAGGTGAATGAAATCCCAAACAAAGAAGCTCTTAGTGGGCAGCATACAAGGATGGAAACAATTAATAAATAACATTAGTATAACCTCTAAACATTAACAATGCATCTGCAAACAAAATGAGGACTTTAAACCAAGTGAACCTTAAAGCTCAGCTACTCTCTGTAAGAATATTTACCTTCTGTTTTTCCTTATTCTTTACAGATCTGAAAGGATTAAATACTGCTATTATAATTTTATATTAATGACACTATTATACTTTTTTTTTTTTAAAATATCTCGTGAAAATCTCAACATTTTTTTTAACACTGATATTTTACAAATTGGTATTTGTCATCCATGAGAAAGAACAACAGTAACAGCAGTTCTTCCTCCACTGGGAATTTCAAACAAAAAAGATTTCTAGGAGGAACTTTAAAAATAAATGTCCTTATTCCCCACTAATCTTTAAAGTGGCACCTTTGAGAAGGTGCCCTGGGAGTTGCATTTTTTCTTGCTCAACTGAAAAAAAAAAAAACAACAAAAAAAACCAACCAGAAATGAACAAAAAAACCCAACAAACCAATCAATCAAACCACATTTCCAGGCAGGAGCCCTCCTCAGGATTAGCTACAGTAATGTCCCCGGTCTGCAGGAGCCACATGCGGGGCCCTGAGCCTGCCTGGCCCCCGGGGAGGGCTGGGGCAAGGACATGCACAAAAAAAGGGCAAAGATTTGGGATTCCTGCTCACCTCTGGACACAGGAAATCACCTGGATCCTGCTCAGGAGGGCACCTCCCGCTTCCCACAGCTCCTGCTCCTTTTGGGAGTGCTTCCCATTCCTTTCTGGGAGTGTTTCCTGCTCCTTTTGGGGACAGCTGGAGGCCAACTCCAGCATTTGTCACCCCAACCCCACAATCCTGACCTGCCCCGAGCTCGGCACAGCACCAGTCCAGACACGGAAGCTCCACGGCTGAAATGCTACAAAACACAGTGTCAGAGTCCAAATTGAGCATTGCCCATCTCTCCTGCTCCTCCTTCTCACCCCTTCCCAAAGCAGTTTCCTGCTGCTTGTCCAGCTCGTTTTCCCAGAGGGGCGGATTCCTGGATCCAGCCTGGCCACGCAGCATCCCCTTCAGAAAGGCACTAGACATTTGGGTTGTTTTTCCTTTTTAAAGTAGCATCAGAAAGTTAATTTTCTTAAGATTAAAGAAGAGGGAGGTGAAGGGAAAGAAGAGCAATCGATCTTGGGCTTAGAAAGAACAAGAAAAATCCACTGGGCAGTGCCTGGATTGAGCTGGCAGAGCACAGCCACAAGACATGGCCAGGACTCTGCTGCCCTCAGTGGAATCAGCAAAATTCTTAACGTGTCTAAGGAAGAAAAGGCAAGACTTAAGTTTCTTAAATCAGTTTGAGACATAAACAAGTGCACAGAAAGGACACATGCAGAGAAATCAGTGATACATGCCACAAAGATCGCTCTCTAATCTCTAACACCTGAAACAACACCCACAGGAACATCTCTTGGCACATAGACCCCAAAGACAGGCCTGGAACAGCTCTGCCAAGCAGGATTTCATGGAAATTACAGCCAGCCTGCCCTGAGGGGCTTGCAGGGGACAGGGAATCACTGGTCTGGTCACACACACTGGGCAGGACAAGAGTTAAGGCTTTGGAGCTGCTGGGCTCAGCCCTCGCTCAGCCATGGCAGCAGTCACACACCAAACGCCTCCAGAACAACCCAGAGCCCAGGGGGAGAGTGAAAAAGAGGGAAATAAACCCCTCACCAAAGGGTTTGCACCTGGATCTCCAGGACAAGGGACTGTTTTTGGCTGCTCAGGCTCCCCTGTATGACACAACAGCCACAGCTGTCCCCTGCTCCAGCCTCAGCAGCACCAGCGCTGGCCCTGCTCCTCCTGAGGCTCCCACACGCCCAGCACATCCCACAGGGAGCAGGGCTGGCACCCTGGCAGCTGCACTGGGCCACAGGAGCAAGAGCAGCTCTTCTTCCCCTTCTTCTTCCCCCTGTGCCCCACAGAGCACCCTGCCCACTGCCAGCCCTGACCCCAAATCAGCAAAGACACCCCTCAGCGTGGGGTCTCTGGGCAGGGCACATCTCCTCACGCTGTCTGAGAGCGTTTTCCCCACTGCAGAAAGGAGGGGAAGAGTAAAGAGAGACAGTTCAGCCTGCCTGGAAGCCACTGCAGCAATTCAGAAAGCTGTAGGTCTAGAGAAAAACCTCTAATTAAAAACCCACTTTCTGCTCTGCTAACACTCCTGAAGGCCTCTCTGCCAACTGCAGCCATCTGGCCCAGCCTCTGGATTCCTCAAAAGGCCAAACTGCCCCCGGCTGCCAGAAGCACTCCAGCAATATTGCAACCTGCAGCCCTTAGCCTGGTGACCTCTGCTGACCTCAGGGAGATGCAAATAATGCTGGACATGCTCCAAAGGCCAAGAGCCTCTCAGGCTGTCAGGCTGTGATCTGTCTGTGCCTCCTGGATCTAAATCCTCTCCAAAGGAACCATCCACTCCTCCAGTATGAACAGAGTTAAGTAGCTGAGTAGGCAAGTCAGGTTTTTCCAACGCAGCAGCCGAGTTCTGACCTTTAAAACCATGTGATCACTTCACAAATACACATTTTTTCCCTGGGTCTGTTTTATCACCAGACCTGGCAACACCTCAGAGAAATGGAAATGGAAAGGAGAGCTCCTATGTTGTTTGGACAGCCATGCAGAGAAACTGCTGCACTTCTGTGACTGCAAAGCAGGTGAGATTCCAACAAACACATCAGCTGCATCTACCAATTCCACAAAACACCCTGGCACGACGATGGCTCCTGCAAAAGCTCTCTGGAGGAATGTGTGTCTGCAACAGCCACCATGCAATGAAGATAAATAAAACATCCTATTTACCAGGTGCAACATTCCTAGGGAAGAGCAATGGGAGTGTCCAGTGACGGCTGCTCCAGCCCAGCAGGGCCACAAATCAAATTTGAGCACTGAAGCACAAAATGCTCAAGGCTAAGAGAGGAGAAGCAGCAGCCCCAGTTCTTTGCTCTTGCTCAAATTCTTCGTCCCCTCTCCCACCCCTCAAAACCACGCCAAGCTCCTGCAGCTGCTGGAATCTGGTGCTGCCAGTTCAAGAGCAAACACACACACCAGAGAGAAATCCAACTCCCAGCACTGCCAGGACCAAAATCCCTGACAGAAGCTCACCCTGCTATCAGAAAATAGCAGCTCATCCAGCTATCAAAACCCCAGACAGAAGCTCATCCAGGTAGCAAGGGAGGACTGGAATCAGAAGCAATAACTGCTTTTATTACAGGCAAGAGGGACACACCACGGCCAACAGGAAGCAATCAAACGATTCTTCCAAGGTCTCCTATAAATTCCCAGCAGAAAGTGACCTCCCAGCTTCTCTAAAAAGCCTGAGCCAGACACACAGCAGTGAACAGATCCAAACCTAGTACCATGAACCACAGGACACACCACATCGACCTCGAGACTTTGTTTCTCTGAGCATCCACTTAAAATTCACAGCACAAAACAACTCCCCCCAGCCTCCAGGGCATGGGATCCCTTGTCACGACACCTTTGTCTACCAACACCCTGGAAATAAATCTGTTCTCTCAGACAAGAGGTAGGGGTAAAGGACTCCAAGACACACACTGTATAAAACACCTCTCCGTTTCATCCCACTGCTTTGAAATCTGGAACCACGAAAACCTGTAACTGATTCTCTTAAAGAGGCAGGACTGACCTCAGCACGAAGTCTCTAAAGGAACTCCCTTCCCCTTTGGTGCACAGCTGGGCAGCAGCTGCCCAGGCAGTTGGTCCACAGCAGCTCAGGTGTGGAGGTGCTCGTGTGCTATGTGGCCACGTGCGCCGGGGAGGAGATGGACACGAACTCCCGCAGAATATTCTTGGCCATCTCAATATTGTTATGTGCAATGACCAGAGCTTTCTGAATGTCCTGATATGAGTAGCCTTGGCTCATGAGGTTCTCGATCTCGCTGGAGAGGTGCAGGGAGGAGCTGGCCCCGCTGCTGGCTCCTCCTGCTTGGCAGCTCCCGGCTTTCCGCTCGGAATTTATCCGCCGGGGCAGCGGCTTTGGCGGCCGTTCGGGGACTTGGGAGCCGTCCGAAAAACCTGCAAGGAGAAACAAGTGCATCACTTCAAGGAAAAGATGTGGAAATTTTGCTTGGAACAAAGCTGAGATGACATCAGGGGGGATAAATGGCACTTCAAAAAGCTGTCACTGAGCTCTGTCATTTTCTCCACCCCTTTTATCCTCATTTCCAACTTGCTCAGCTTCCCCTTATGGGTGCAA